TCAGAGTGTCACGACCACTAACCGGCCCAGACCAGCCTCGAAGAGGGCTAATCAGTTCCAGCAACAGGGTGTTAATTACAAACGCTGCCGCACGTGTTAATTTCTCATCAGACGCCTTACTGTCCGGCAGGCTGCATTATTTAAGCCTCCCTTACCCGTGTATCTCTGCTCGGTATTGAGTTCACTTCTTGTTGCTCAACCTAGCGTTTCTTTTCCTTTTGCCTTACTGGAATTCTGACTTCACCTTTTGCCTTCGGACTTCGGTTCTCGTCTCGCCCCTTGGATTGTTTGCTACCTGTGACTATTTTCGGATTTGACCCTGCCGCTCTTGTTTCGACCTCATACCTGTCTCACGTTCTGGATTGTTCGCCACCAGTGCCTTTACCGGATCTTGACCTACCTTACGCCTTCGGACTACGACTCAGCTCCAGGTTTTGCTCTGTTTGCTTACTCGCCTTCCAAGGACTCCTGCATCTGCATCGGATCCTTTTCACCACTACCTAGCTTCGTTACACAGAGAAGACACAATTGGAAATTGTTGGTCTAAATATACAGTACAAAGCATTACCTCAAACACAACTTAGTGCATCAATAATTGATCAACACTATAACTACTGCCAAGCATGGTGGTGACAACATTATGTTATTCTTCTGGTTCTCATCCAGGACTGGAAATAATATCAAGACTGTTGGGAGCAAATACTGGCAAATCTTAGAGGACATCTTGCTTCAGACATAAAACTGGGACAAAACTTCACCTTTTAGAAGGAACATAATGGGTTTGGTGCAAAGAATAGACATACAGTACTGTAGTTTGTCTTAAATGTATAAATTGAATATAAATTATTCTAATGCAAGTATATGATGTTATGATATTTAAAAAATACAAATATTCCACCATAAATTTGGTCATTTTATGTATATCATAGCTGTATATACAGTAATAGTCTGTTGTGAATTTCCTCAAGCTATTAATGAAAGAAACTACCAGCAATTGAAAAGAACACAAAACACATACAATATATTTGTTGTATTTGTGTTTTCATTTTTTAAGATAGAATAATAACAATTGGTTACTTTCTTGTCATTTCACCTTGTGAAGAACAATTGCTGCCTGTGAAATCTTTTAGGCCCGGTCCTTAGTATACATAGCACATTTTTCATTAGGAGTTTTATTCTTTGTGAAGTAGCAAGCATTTTGTGTGCCACCCGGACCTAAGAAGACTGTGAATAATCCAGAAATTGGGGGAAATGGAAATCGGTTCTTTACTGAGTGACTAATGAGAAAGGCTCTTAAAAGTGGCATCCTTTCTGTAATTTGCTCAAAGAAACCCATAGGAATCTTCAAATATTCTCAATATCAGAGCAGAGCAAGCTCTGTAATCAAAGCATGACTGAGTCAAATCATCGGAGTTAAGAGTCTTGGAGTTTTAATTATGGGCTGCTCAGATTTTGGACAGGAGGATGAATAGGTTTCATGATTACCTTAGGGATCCTTTGTAAGCCCCTTCATTGTTCACCTGGAGTCTCCTCGTGAGCTTCCACTGTTCAAATTATGCCTGTTCAGAGCTAACTAATTACTTAGGATATGATCCCTAAAAACATACTGTAGGAAGTACAAGAACATAGGGGTTTGCTTTTTATCACATGGTAAGAAACATTACAGTTATTATGTGTTTCTTTACTGGAATTACAAATGCGGTAATGTGTAATTTCCTGTGGTGCTAATATGAAATGCACTTTAAGGCAGAGACAATCATGTGAGTAGCACATGATTACTTTATTTCTAATGAAATAGGCATTAACAATTAAAGAAACACAAAATGTTATACTAGCATACTGTAATTCAGTGTCCTAGCAAATTAATTTCTAAAGGTTTTATGTATTTCAAAGGTATTACTGTGCCCTCTTTTTTATGATACCCCTTATAAAATTTTCGGGACTGTGTATAATAGTGGTCCCTAGTCTCACACTGCTTTTGTTCCTTCCTTGAGTGAGGTACTGTATTTTTAATCTAGTTGCTCCAGTCCACCGAGCTGTATAAATTGGGACCAGCATTGCTAGGAGTTCCTATCAGGGGGAAATTATCCTCATGATGCCATGGAAACCAGGATATTTTCTAGTCCAATGAGTTACTTGGCCCTAGATATTTAAATTACCCACTAGCCATTATCACAATATGATTGATTTTACAGTTTTCGTCAGAAAGTATTCTTCTCTGCTTTGACATCCATGCCCGTTGTTAATCATACTGCTTTCTTACCTAACTTTTGTACGTTTTCCTTCTCTGCACCACAACGGCAACAGTTGTTGTGACACGGTTACTGTATAGAACTTACCCAAATTGAGATATTTGTGGTCAGCAACCAGTCAGCTAATTTGTTTAAAAACAGTAATTTTCTGTACAGAGCTAAGAAGGTGTCCCTCATCCTTTTATTTGCCAAAATGTCCACATACAAAGAAAAAAAGAGTAGACAATGTTTCAATATGACACAAGCACATAAAGCTTACAGTATAAGGGCTTGTTGGCCATTCAGCTGTAAAACCCACTGTGTGCCTACATCAATTTTATGTTCTTTGGTATTAAGTAATTCATGGTTTACTTTGCTTCCGTCTTGCCAATGCATACCTTTGGATGCTTAAGTGCTAAATCCCTTTTACTACAGTGAAATAAAACATAACCATCTATTAACATCTACATTGGAGGTCTCTGCAGCAATAGAATACAAAACTGTGAAATCAGCTATAAATCAGATACAAATTAGGCACAGGTTTGTCATCAGTGTCACGCTGTAGTAACCTAAAATACGATAATGGAAATTGCAGTAGCTCCAGTCACTGTAATGTATCATGTTTAAATGGGATATATTCAAAATGTAGTCTTATTTTGGGTATGTTTGTATTAGTAATCTCTGCTCAAAGACTTTACCTCTTTTCTCTAAAGGGTCCTTTGAGATTTGCTGGGTGTAGTGTGACAAAACACATTAATCTTACTATGAGTCCAGCCAACAAAAATGCTAAAGAATTTAATACCCTGTGTGGTAACAGAATGTGAAGTAAATATGTAAGACAAGGAGATAATTAGAAAGCAAATCAGTTATGTATATGCATTTGTTACAATTCCAGAAGATACACAGCTGCTGAAAGCCTACAGGAGAAATAAAATACCTCCGAGGTTGAGCTCTTAATCAAAATGCAGATTTCCTTACATGTGATCTGACAGCTATGTTATCGTATTATTTTAAAACCTCAGTCCTCGGCGAAGAAAAGCACTTTATTTCCCAAACTAAATGAAAATGACAAAGACTTTATTTCATTAAATCTATGAACTGCTTGGCCCATGTTCTTGTTCATTATTCAATGCTTTATCAGACCAGGTTTTAGTAAAAATATATATATATTTTCAAAGACTATTTTACCAAAATGAACAGTGATGAGCCATATTCCTTTGGCAGCTGTACAGCATCACAAGTGAAGCACTTGTACTAATGCAATTTCAACTTCGTGAAAAAAAGAACTGACCTGGAAAGAAAAGAATGAACATCTGTCTTCTTCAGTGAAATTGCACCACACATCATAGGGGCTTCAGTCTCAAGAACGTTATTTAATATTTCCATCAGTACAAGATTTATTAATTTTTTTTCAATCCCTTATTTAACCACATCTGTCAGTACAGAACAATAAATGTTCAGTGTATACATTTATACAGCAACTTGAGATTACTGAAGCAATTTGAGTGAAGTTCTTCTATCAAGGATAGAACACCAGTGTGCTTTTCAGAGTCTTAACCCACAATCATAATGGTTGAAAGCCCCATCCAGTACTTCACACTGCTGCTGTCTGACCCTACAACAGCACTCTGGTCCATACACATCTCTGTGGTTTAAAACATAGGTGGATGGCAAATACTCTGCAGATGACTTGTGTCTTATTGCCATCATCTAGGTATGCTTTAACATGGATTAAGACCACATTGTTAAGGTTCAATAGCTCTTTACTAACCTGCTGTGTGAATGTAGCCAAATTAGCTCTGCTTGCTCTTATATCTTTCCCCAAAAGGAGAAATGCCTTGTACCACCAGTTTAGATCAATCTTTTATTACAAACCAAAGAAAATCTACAAATCACTGCCCTGGCATCATCAATACTATTTCATGTTTTTGTTTAGCACATGCCAGTGGTACAGATACAGATGACGTGTATGCTGATGTTTATCAATGCTAGAACACCCGAGTTTCCACAGTATTGCCATTCCCATTATTGAATCGTTTTCTGTAGCTTCCACATTGGTTTTTAGTCCTCATAGTTGCATTTATAATACAAAACTGATACTGAATTTGAATCTTACAAATATGCCGAGATTCTAAAGCATTGGAGAGTTTTTCTAAAATCCAGTAACCTGTCAATTGAATTTGATTGTTCTAGATTGCCTTATAACCACTAGAGGGTGTTGACTTCACGTCTTATATCTCATAAGAAATATGGTCCTTGCAATCACACAGTATGTAATATTCACATGGTTTACAGGCAGGTGTTATTTGTTCGATCAATCATTTTTTATTCTTGCTTTACAATTCTTTACAAACATAAATAACAATAAATAAATAAACTAAACACATGGTTAAAGGCATTGATGCGGGCTCAGTTAAATATGTTACAAAAACGGAATAGTTTCAACTTTAAAAGTGATACATTTAATATTATATATATTATACAGTATATTATTGTTTAATATTAAGTATGGAACGTAAGAAGAACCTGAAAATGTCATTTTTGTAAAGGTGAACAACTGGAAAAGCATTGTTCACCTTAATTCCTTTATTCTCGTTGAAATAGCTTTTGTATGAACCTTCCTCCGCTTCGATTCCAAATCATGCTATTTGCATGTGTCGGCTTACTCGTTAACTTCATTAACATTTTTTAACACTGAAAAGGGAGAATATACAGTAATACCTTCACTGTATACGAATGGAAGTATCATGTGATCTAACCCGGAAGCGCCTCTTGTCATGTGATTGCATTCTGTCTCCTGTGTTGCAAGTTCAACGCTTGTTGATGCTACGTTTGGTCGGATATTTTATATAGAAATGGAGAGGTTTGATAAGACTTCGCTCAATGCTGCACCGGCCCAGGATTTCAGAGGGTAAGATGCGTAAGATTTGTTTTAACAGTAATTAAAGGCAAAAGCTGTATACCTTTCTTGTGCGTTATACGTTGTGCATTTGAGTGAAGGACAATAGGCCTCTGTTGTATAGCTGTGAATATTGTACAACGGCTTTACAAAGAACAATAGAAAGGTGATCCCAGTGGTTTCTTGTGCAGGTGAAAGAGCTGCATCTGTTTTATGTAGCTTTAATACTAGTAGAATGAGAAAGTTGTGTTTTCACGATTTGGATGTGTTCGGCAGGGTGTGCTTTTACCCATAATCAAAATGTGCATTCATTTTACATAAACCAGATGAAAGGTAACAATACGATAATACGTACCCGAGATTCAGCTAAGGGGCTTTGTAAGATTTAAATCTTTTACCAGTTTTGATACGTCGCTGTTTTTCAGTGTTTTAGTGCTCTTAACACAAATGCCCACGTGTTAAATCTCTTTAACACATGCTAAATGATAAGATAGGAAAACAAAATCAGAAAGGTATTCGAGTCTTTTTTAATAGCAGAAGCATGGTGTTTATGTTGCAAACACGGTCTTCTAACTAGGGACTGTTGTGTTGCTCTTCTTAGGCTGGGGGAAAGAGCTGAAGACTGAAACAACGGTTTTCCTGGTACTTATCTGACTGATTTCAGTATTATAAACTTGTTGTATTCATTTTTATACCACAGACACTATTTTGTACATGAGCCTAGTATGTGGATACACTGGGAAAATGCCAATGATTTTGACGTCTTTGTTTGCCTAAACAGTATTACCTGATTGACTATCCCAAATGGGGACACAAGGCACATTAAGTAAATAAAATCGGGCCTCCGTGTTGGTAGATCATATTCTTTACACTTGACAATCTCATACAGACTCATGGCTTCTTTTCTTTTGGTTTACAACAGGGTAAGAGCATGACTTAATTATCTTTAGAGGACACTGAAATAGCTACTAATTTTAAATAAAACTGAACTAATATCTGAAAAATACAATGTTACATCAGACGGACTCCCTCCCCACCTCCCCCCTTCACCTAGTTTTCAAGATGTATCTTTATCTTATGATCCTCTTCACATTGTTCTAGAGACACTGGCTTTTGTCTCTCTCTCACCAACAAGTCTAGCTTAATTAGTTGGAAGATTAGTTTATGTGACTTTTTGTTCCTGCGTTCAGTTAGTTTCCAACCTGAAAATTGTTTGTGGCAAACATAGAAGGGTTATACCACAATTGGTGGAAATTGTCTCAATATGTGATTCAGGAGTTGAAAAGTATTTTCAGTCATTGATAGAATAAAATAACAAACAATAACCGAACATAATACATATAATGCAAAAAAATTATTTATAGGATTTTTTTTAAATTGATGCAGTAGTATGTGGTTGTAGGGCATGATGGCTTTTGGTTTTAAATGCAGTAAACTCCAATGAGTTTGTATTGATAGTGGCCATCTCCCGTAGTGCTAAATCAATACTCCATTCATTCTACCTAATGTGTAGAACCACAGAGGTCTTAACTTGATCATATATCACTTCTTTCCTGCAGAAACACATGGCCTGGCAAGAAAGGTGCATTCTTACAACAGTAATGCTTACAATATGTTAATGTCTTAATGTCTTCTTTCAGAAATGATGGCTCATTAGTGTCTGCGCTGAAGACTCTGCTGTTCTTCACAATCCTAATGGTCACCTTACCCATTGGGCTGTACTTTGCCTCCAAAGCTTACGTATTTGAAGGTAATTGAGTTTACTCAAACAACCCCTTTCTAGTGTAATAAGCTTATTTTGTCAACCTTAACAGCCTCAAAACAGAAGTAAATGCTTTACTCTTGACTCTTCATTATGGTGTCCTCTTTGTTCATTTTTTTTTGAGTAAAAATAACAATACAGATATTTTCTTCAGCATTAATTTAGCTCTGGTATGTTATCCCTTTGAACGGCTTAACTTGTTGTTCCGTCTTGTATAAATGTGTACGCGCTTGAGACAAATCTAAAAAACTCTTTTTGTCCTCCCCCTTTTTATAGCTTCAATGGGAATGTCCAGTAAAGACAGCTACTTCTACGCTGCGATTGTGGCAGTAGTGGCGGTCCATGTGGTACTGGCCATGTTTGTGTATGTTGCTTGGAACGAAGGCTCAAGGCAGTGGAGAGAGGGGAAGCAGGACTAAGAGGTGCTTGGTTTGCTTTTCTGTGAGCACTACACTCTGGAGAAATGACAGGCTGAGATGACACAACATCCGGCAGCTGGAGAAGACCAATGCGTGACTGGGATCTATAGAGATCATTTCGGGCTGTTTCCACTGTTGGGGATAAAAGAGAATTCATTGCAGTTGATATTGGTAATACTAAGAAAAGGAAGGGAGGCCAGGAACTTTTATCATTGTAGTTTTTCCACAATTTGAACCTTGTCAGATGGCGACAACATAACCCAATTACTATTACGCTGTACAGTGCTTTTTTGCTGACTAAACACTCTCAAACGCTTTAAAATAAAGGAAAATAGTTCCAATCCAGCCATATAAACTTGCGGAAATGAATAAAAGTGACAGCACATTTGGTGTCCATAGATATTGCGTGCTCTTTGTTTGTCATCACTTTTAACCTGTTGTAATTGTTTTCAGAAGACGTGTTGCTCTTGTTTTGTATTTGCCCTGACCAGCACTTTAGAAATCGTAGAACATAATGAATGTAAAAGAATATGGTCAGAGACTTTCTGCTTATTAAAGAGATTAATGTGTGGTCACAAATGTTTAAGTCTTGGATTTAAAATGCGAGATGATAGTATGACTGTCAACATACTCAGAAGAGTAAGAAATGACCTGTTGTACACGCAGATATTGCCACATTTGAAAAATATGTCTCACTGTGTGACATTCTCTTTAAACTGTGAATTTACTGAAAGCTTCTTTTTATATGAATGAGATGAAACCATGAAATGTGGAAATAGCATGTTTTGGTGCATTGCATATTTCGTTAAAATATAGTAGCAAGTGCAGTATGCTTGTATTGCTGGAGATCATTCTTAACAATGGGGCAATTGAAAAAATGTCCTTGTCATACAAAAGAAATTGGACACCTACTAAATGATGGGATGGCGATGAAAAGTAAGTTCATTTTCAAGTTCAAGAATGCTCAATGACAAAGAAACGCACTACTGCAGAAAAATCTAGATCTATTTTTCATAGCTATACTGACTTTCTTTGAGCTTCCTTTAAGCGTTCTGATTGTAGATGCGTTAAAGCTTGACAAAAGATTTGATGATGGTGTGGTTAAGTCATCAGTCTGTAAGTGACGCCTGTTCTGTCTGGACGTGGAAGTCCTTTCAGTGCCCATCTGCTGCTCATTTGAAGGGCACTTTTAATTGTGCTTAACAGGGAATGTAGATGAGTCAGAATCTGAATCATACTGGGTCCCTGAGGTTTTATTTTAGTTGTATCTACAAAATTGGCACAATGAACGTAGATGAGCTGAGTCAGTTATTACACCACCATAAAAAAAATTAAAACTATTTAAGGCAAGGCTGCAGAAATGGCTCAAATATATAATCCAATTTAAAATGATCCTGTTAAAGACCTTTAGTTCGTACATCATAATAAGCTTGTAAAGTTGCTATGTGGTGCTTAAGATGATGTTGTAGGACCACCATTGTATTTGTAATTTGAATTTACTTGACAATTTATGAAAAAAAAATACATTTTAATATTTTTTGGTTGCCTATAAATTGTAATTTCCACTGCAGAGCCCTTACTATTGCAGAAACAACCTTCACCTTGGCAATATGTTACTCATCTGTTTAAACGTACTCCCAGTGTGAAGTGAAAATTACGATCTCTTTATCTGTTTTCCTGACTAGGTAACTTTCTAAGTTCGTTCTTGCTGGCCTCGGAGTTTTGTCATGTTTTTTTCATGCTGTGTCCTTATCTAGTGCCAGCAATAGTTGCAGAGGCAAGTTATTTTTATTGTGAAATATAATTGTTCATTTGAACTTTTTTGTGAAATAACTGCTTCAAGGAATTTTACTGTAGTTCATATTTTATTAGACCGGTAGAAAGAAACTAGCATGTCCAAATATTCTTTAATACTTATAGCAACAAGTGCTTGAATTGAAAGGATTCTAAAATACTTCACATATCATTGGTGTAGAGATTTGATTTAATTTACTGGAATGATTAGAACTTATTATAGTAAATGCAAGGTATACCTGTATTTCAATCAGAACAATGGCAGCGTACACATACATTTAAAAGAATACACTAAATGTGAAAGAGCAATGCATGAGTAAATAAGTGTACATATATGAGAGAGAAATAAGAGCAAACTTCAAAGTTTTCCTAACCTGTATTTTGTATATGCTATTCGGGGTATTCCCTGATACTCAGTGGTGTCCACAAAGGTCCAGCTATAATGTTTTGGTGATCGGGTGAAGTTACAACGGGGAACTCATCGCTAAACATCTCTTCTTACAAAGGAAGCCTTTTGTAGAATTTCATGTAAGGAACAGTCTCTTAGGCCTGCGATTGCTTTCCCCCCAAGCTTGTTTCAGATGCCATTCAAACAACAACAGTGGTCGTGATCGCATAAGTTATCAGGTTCCCTGGGTTTCAGAGAGCTTTGCTGTGAAGGAACCTGTTAGTCACATTATCGTGGCTGGTAATTGGTTATGACATTATCAAATTGTAGCTTCCTCAATTGCCAGGTTCCTCATTGGTGCATTCCTCAGGTCCTATCAGTGGATTTATGACGAGGGACCAAGTGACTGGGATCCGAGTTTAGATGTTATACTATTTTGGATTTATAGATGGTCAAGTGTCAGTTTATCACTGTATTACTGGAGGTGTCATGATGGACGTGTTGTTGTCTTGTTATAGTTTTTGGACCTCATCACAACATTCCTAAAAAGCTGACTGAAAGTAGATCAGGGCTATTTTCCATTCAAGGAATGAGAAACAAAGAAATCAAAAGAAAGATGATTATTTTACTTTTTCTTAACACTTCATTCTTGATATAATAACGATCTTATCTTATCAATAATAGCCTTGTGGCTGCAGAGGAGACCAATTACATCCATCACTAGAGTCTGTTCCTACTTAGTTAATGTTTGGCCGCCATTGTGTGCCAGCAGCCACATCAAACAGAAGATCGGGTGAAAAAGTGTGAAATTGTGTAAGTCTCAATACATGTGGACATTTAGCTTTCATGGCCTCTGGAAACCTCTCCATAGCAAAAGACCTCAGTACCGATGCAAGACAGTGTGGTCAAAAACTCTCTACTTACAAATCACACAAGTGGGATCTTTCATGACCGAATAGTTAGGTACTTGGCTTAATGTCTCATCCAAAGAATCGTACCTCCTACAGCACAGTGTACCTGGTCACCATCTTGCAGCGGTAGTTTGTAAATTGTGATGCAGAGGAAAGAGTCAAGCTTACTGGTCCACCAACATCCCTGCAACATACTGTAGCAGCAGAAGTCCAGTTTTCCTAAAAGGTCTACCATGCCTGTACTTTGCAGGTCCAACTTTGCTAAGGTTCTGAGAAGTGTTGAAATCGGGCTACAGGATGTAACTCCATTAGTAGCAAATGGTTCTTTTTAAGTTCTATTTGATATGACAGGGAACTGTTTGGTTGGGAATTTAGCTGTAACATCTCTGATTGGTTGTCTAAAAAAATACGTATTTCTAAATGATAAAATCTGGGAACCTATTTTGTACTTGAGGCTAGATTGAGGTTTGTGAAACAAATTAACATACAGAAAAAGTTCTATATGACACTAGAGGGCACTGAAGTACTGTATCCCCACACTATAAACAAGCACATTTCTGTAGCAGATCTGTTCTCTTTAATATATTAAGGGAGGCTAAGCATTAAAAGCATAAGTTATTCTTAGACCCATTCTGCTTGGAATGCAGAATACCTTAGGACATTTGATATAATTTGACTTTACAATAAGAAGTACTTAACAAACAAATGCATTAGAAAGCATATTAATTAATTTAGCTGACTGACACTTTAATCAAAAGTGACTTACATTTCTGCCCATTAATACAGTTGTGAGTTACCTGCAGCAGTCTTAGTGAAGTATATGACTTTATGGCTGGAAATGTTTTGAACCTATTGTACTTGCCAGATGTAAAAAAAGTTTCAAACTCAGATTACATACCAAAAAATAAGATGTTCTCAATGCATGTTTGGGATAATCTTTAATTCTGTCTGTGTCTAGTCTTTTATCCATATTGTTGTGTTTTATTGTGATTTGCTTCTTAGTAATCTTTTATTTTTTTAAATAAAGAGCATTATTAAAAAGGAATATGCTAGGAAAGCAATCACAGAAATCTCTATTGGGTTCCTTCTTTTGCTGTCAGAAATGTTTTAAACTATGTGTATGTATTAGGAAAGACAGTAGAAGGCATTTCATTTTAGTCTACGAAAGAAAGAGTCGTAGGAAGGGAAGGGTAATTTATACTGTACTGTGTATACAGTACAGTATAGTCTATACACAGAATTGATGGTATGACAGTTCGTATTGTGGCTTCATACCTCTTGATCTTGTACTGTGGTGTCTTCTGTGTGGGATGTGCATGTTCTTGTGTCCATATAGTGTAATATTCTAGGTCCAACTCTTTACTTCTGCAATTAAAAGATTAGTTGAATTAGTGTTTCTAGATTCTCATTGTGTACTTGTTTGTGTCTGTTGCAATATACTGGCTAAGATGCAAGACCTACTCTGCACCCTGTGCTTCAAGCATAGGATTAAAGTTGCCACATCTCTTACCAGAAATAAGTAGCTTTACACCTACTGTACCTGTACCTGTATTTACTTTGTGATAGTGATCCCCTGTATAAAATAATACAGTAACTCAGTTTTTTAAAGCACTGTATTTTGCTTTTCTGTTATCCACCTATTCTATTCTATTATCTTCATTGGATGTAAATCCAAGAGGCCACAGCTGGAAGCTCAGTAACATATTCTCTTCTCACTGATGCCATAGGCAAATAATCACATGTACTGTATTCTTAAATAACAGGATGGCAGAGCAAAAATAATGAGTCTGCATGTTTCATTCATTCCATGTTTTTTTTGTTGTTGTTGTGATTGATAATTATGAGTTGTCCCAAAACCTTTAAAAATTTCCAAAAGTCATTTTTGGTAACTCAGCCACGCAACAAGATAAAATGCATTATATTTCCCACATAAATGAGTGTAACACCACATACAGTAATTAACTACGATCTGGGTGTTTCAGAGTGTGATGTCTCTTCTGGAAACAAAGTTACTTTTCAATAAACACTGTACCTGTCTAAAAAAAATAACATTTTTGTTTTGCCGTCGGTTAATCAAACACCCGTCTTCAATGTCAGGTTTGTTTTTCTAGGAAAATTGATTTTGCAACAGGGAATGGTTGTAGATAAATATCAGGTAGATTTCCTTCTTTTCTCTGCAACCTGTTGTGAGATTCTGTTTGGAATTAAAATAATCACGGTACAATGTCATGGTTCTCTTATTTTTCTTTAGACAGGCTTTTAGTTTTCTGTACAAAACAACAGGGAAGCTTTTTATTACAAGTTGTAGCCAATGTAAACTGATTAAAAAAAGAACCATGTCTTAATTCAAATCCACTAATCAGTTCTTTTATAAGTGCCTCCTAATCGGATACTGGCTGAGATCCAATGCCCCAGCATGCTAATGTAATCCACTGGCTCAGAAACACAGTTTGAAGACAAAGAAAATTTTAAGAAGGTTGTGCTGCCTCAGGCCAGTAATCTTTGCCATTATGAAAGGAAATTGACCTTGGTCTGCAACGTTGGCTTACATTACATAAGCTGTGAAGAAGAGGATTGTTTTTCACTTTTTATCTGGACTAGAAATTGTACCAGATAAGTACTTTCACACCCTTCAGAGTTTTCCAAAAAATCTCCAAACTAAGAAACCTGCCAGCTCTTATCCCAGCTCAGGTGTAGACTTTGAATTTGCACTGAATATTTAGGAACTGTTCAGAACTGCCTTTGTTAACACATTGGTTTTAATTATTTGTTTTTATTATTTAAATGGGTTAATTAATTGAATTATTTTTTTTGCAGCACCTTTTTATCATTTTTTAGCAAGTTTGAGCTGTGAACCATGAACATTGAGCCATGTCAAATCAGAGAACTGTTTACAGGAAGAAAGCCATGATTTTATTTGTGCAGGTTTACTGTATATGGACATGCAGTACTGCTCTACGTAGTTGATCAATGTGCTGTAGAGGTGTTGGGGTTTGGACTGTATTCAGTGCAAACGTTTGGAAGGGATACATAGAGAATATGTATTTTTCACCTTGTTTTCATTAATTACAAATGCATTAATCTTACCTTTAGGCTTTACTAGCCTTTAACCATTCTTTTATGGACATCAGAGGTTATATAAAAAATACCTTCAAGATAAAAAATGCACATTTGCAGCAGCTGCTAGCGTTTTTAAAAGAAATGAGTCACGTTTTTTTTTTAAATTATAATGCCATGGTGTTTGCGTAGCTGAGTCACTGTAGAAATGGATGTGTATTATAGTAGAAGCCTTCTTTGGGAAGAGAACAGAAGGATTTACATGTTTTTTTTTTTAAAGAATGCATACTCTTGTCTCAGATCTGCAATATCAATAAGTGTTTGCCCACCATAGTTAAAACATTATACATTTCAGAAACACTGGGGGGGAAAGTGTATTTAAATAGTTGACATGTAGAAAAACTAAATGCAGTATAATGTTTGAAATAACTATGGCAACAAAAGTGATTATATGGTGCTAATCAAGAAGTATAAATAGATTTCATGTATATATACAAAATATGATATAATATGCTACATTAACATGATATAATGTTGTTGATTGTCAAATGTCCACCAGAAAGTGCCATACTTCTTCAAGACCCAAACTCTGTTGGGCAAAATGGTCCAGTTGGTGTGTAGAAACTTTTGCTAGGGAGAGGAAACAGGAAAGACAAAGGAAATATCCCTCAGCAGTTCAAACCCTATTGAGACCATTTTGTGCTGATGTGTATCTCGCATTCTATACCCATTTTTCTTTTCTTTTCATAATTATTTCCAATATTGTGGTATAGTATCATGGTAAAAACAGGCAGCAGTATCCCCCCCTACATTTTTCCTGCTTATGAGCAGTAAGTTCTAATGTATGACACAGAGTGGTTTTTGCTGCCCATATTGCCAGATTTCAATCTCACCACATCCCCTGCATTATCACAATATGTCTGTGGTGAGATACCTACTGTATACGAATGTTTTGGGTTGCAAGAACTTTTTAAGAAGTCAGCAAATTAAATTGAAACCGTTAGGGTGCTTTTGTTGTTTATGTGAAATTGTTTTTATTTTAATCAGTATAATAATTAATCACTATGCAGGTATGTGATATTAATACAAATATCAAAATTCACAAAGGTCTGAGCTCTATTTCTCATGTACAGATCAGAATTACTCACTGCCATATATAGTGTTTTCTCTTTATTACTGAGAAACCCAGTTCTCTTTACTGATTGTTGAGCCATAAATGTATAGATTAACCTAGTTTGTGATTCAAGGCTAGAGCATGAAGCATCCAGGTTTAGATTATTTCCAACTGTAACTCCTATAACTCAGTAATTCTACTATCTGTATTATTTACTCTCTGTAGAAAACTCTGTAGAGAGTGCTTTAGAAATTGCAAAGTAACGTGAGGACCAGCAGTTTACAGCAACATTAATAATCACTGCGATTTAAAGTATCAGTTACTATAACATGATTATTTTAAATTATATTTGTTTAGTTCTATGAAATATAAAAAATATAATGGAAGAGGGGCACCTGCAATTTGTCAAGGAGAATTTTAACAATGTTAAATTTAACCACCTTTTTGAGAATACCCTGAATCAGTATTAGTAGTATTAAAGATCATTTGATTGGCCTTATACAATTTCTTGTATTAGGAGTTTGTCTTTTCGTATGTCCCAACTTGATCTCCATGAGGTACACAGACAGGGAGAGAAGCTTGGGGTCAGAGCGCAGGGTCGGCCATTTATACGGCGCCCCTGGAGAAGTTGGGGTGAAGGGCCTTGCTTAGGGGCCCAGAGGAGTAGGATTCCTCTGCCGGCCACAGGATACGAACCGGCAACCTTCCAGCCAGAGGCGCAGAGCCACCACACCGGTGTATACTTACATATAGTAAGTATTTCTTACTGTAGTTATTTTAACTGATACAGGTCTTATTTCATCAGTCCTTCCTGAATTGCATAGTGACCTACTGTTGCTACTGAGCATATTTTTTTAGTGCTCTTATTTTTACTACAATCCAAATGCCCGAATCCACGTGCTGACCCCTTGGGTCTATAAAGGAAATCTAGTCAGCCTACTGTTGTCTTAATGTGTTCCTTAGGTATATAAAGTGAATATATTCATGATCTTTGATGTAGTTTTACAACAATAATACAGAATATTAAAAGACCTCTTGCATAAAAGTGGTAGTACAAAATCGTAACAAAATATATACTTTTTGCATTGGAGAAATAAGCGTAAATGGATAATAGTATTTTATCCAATTCTTTTGTTCATCAGGTCATCAACACATTAAACTTCATCTGTTATTGTCTTCAAGACATTGCCAGTAAGGGTGGGGTGCTGCTTTTGAAATGATGCGGATGACCTATATTGAGTAAAGAGGAGTTTAAAAACACTACAAAGCAACCTCTCCCTATTCTTTTACATTAAATTAATACCACAAGGGTTCAGCAAGCACCAAGTGTGTGCAAGTGAACTGAATGTGTGTGGGATGGTCTGTGTTTGATTTAGTTATGTCTTTTGTGAGTCACAGAAATTGCACGCCCACAGGCAGTAAGGTAAATGTGAGTTACATAAAACACTTAATTTTATTTATTGGGGACTTGTTTCGTCAGACCTGATTGTTCATTCTTGAACTGTGATTCACTGTATGACCTTACCAGAGCATAACTAATTGACACGGGATGTCTTGTTAATAAGGAAGAGTATTCATTACCAAAATGCTGTAAAGTGGAATTAATTTACAGTATGGACAGTATGCTAAATGGTGAAACTTTTTCACTTCATATCAAAAGCAAATAAGCTGCTGGTTTGTGCCACCTTAAGCACCATTAGTATACTGTTTATTAAACCCTTCTAAAGGTAGTGAAGTTCCAAAATAAGGGAATGGAATTATGTAATTGTGTAGGTTAAAAGGCTCCAGTTTGGTTTGTAATCTTGGATAAATCACCCAGTCAGCCCACCAGCATCTTAAAATAACAGCCTGTACATGCACATAGCCAAGTTCTGGTCATGAATAGAACTGTTTCAAAGACATTAAAATAAAACTTTTATTACAATGAAATTATTAATCGCAGAAATCTTAAAAATGCCTTTATTTTTTTTATACTGAGACCGCATTATCAGACTTTAGAATTCATTTTTTACCATGCTCTACAATTTTCCATTTTTGTGCCTATTCTTTATTTCTTTATTTTAATATTGCTACAGTGGGATCATTGTCGAAGCCATCTGTTAACAGCACATCTTCAGCTCAGCAATCCCAGTCTTTGATAAAGAATGGTGTTTGCACATAGGTGGCATATTTTGCTGTTTTTGCAACTGCTGGCCTTAACTTTTTTCATTGGAGTAGATTGAATCAATTCAGTCTGTAGGACTTTTTGATAGAAATTAAGCTTCTTGTGCATTTTAGTAGTTTAATTTTCTTTAATGCAGATAGAGGTGACTAGAAGGCAGTCCCTTGTTTCTTATAATTGTATAATGTCTTGGTCAAACCTTTCTTTGTTATCTGTACAGTCTCAGAGCACACTAAATTGATGCTCTAGGATCTCATTGTGGATTTGCCTTATTCCTCTCTCTCAGAATGAAATTATAAGCACTATTTTCAAGTTCAAAAGCTTTAATTGCCTGCTGTATATTCTGTATATGAAAAAACACAAATCCTTAGAATCAGTTACGTTTAGTACAGCTTAATTCTTAACAATGACCTGGCATATGTATCAAATAAAATGAAGATGCACAATCACATTATGCGTCACAGTTTTGTAATAATTTTATTCACCATCTCATCACCGTACGGTATTTATTGATTTCTTTTTAGTTGCATCACTAAATTTAAGATTTATTAATGGCCTGTTATTTTTTAAAATCTATTGGTAAGTGTAATTGCACCCTTCTAGAATCTTCTAAATCCGATCTCAAATGACATTTGAAAAACATTACACATGGTTAAATGAAAGTGATTTCCTGTTATTTTCCAAGGCGGCGTGACATCATAAAGCACTTATTCCTAT